ACTTCCCACACAACGCATCAATCAATGGACTTACTGAAAGAACATTTCTTTGAGCAAATAATTTTACGTTTTGTGCCGGTCGATTAGCCACCAAGATCGTGTGATATAACATCGTTAGACTTTTTAGATTTTTTCTTGTGGATTTATGTAAAGTCTAAAATCTGTGCGGACGGTCCCACTTCGATTTAGGCCTTGGAACAAAACATCACGCGAGCTATTCGCCAGTTACCAGTCGAAATGTTCGAACGAGTAATCGAAAATTGAACTTAATGAATGGACCATCTGAGTCGTAACCGCGGCCAACATTCGAAATAGATAATTTTCAAAAAATAAATGCCAAAGAATGTTCTTTCGAATGGTAATAAATATTCCCCATTAAATTTTAAGTTTCTGTGATTTTTCTTCAGAAAAGTGGCTAACCTCGAAAAGAATTACCCTTAATTATAAGGGGAAATACTAGTGATAGTAATAATAATTTTGCTTCTTAAAACTTTTTTGCATTTATTTCATATCTTTCTGCAAGACATTTTATACATAAAATGTTTAATTATATATATATGTATATGTGTATACTTGCATGTATATATAAATAATTTTAGGGTTATTATTATTATTAATATCTGTATCTATTTATGCTTTTTATTAACTTTTAAATTTTTGTATGATTATATATATGGTACATATATTCACTATTTCGATGTCTTTTATTTGTTTTAGTCCGCATATTTGATTTATTGAGACTTTCGTCAAATATATTTAACATGACCTCAATAGTCACAGGTGATTTAAAATTCCTCATTTTCAATTTAAGCCCTATGCATTTCCTTTGTTTACGTGTCGTGCCGAGTTTATTTGCTTTCATTTGTCAATACAAAATTTCATTTGATACTTATACATATTTTCCGTTGGGCATTTGTTGGTTTTGCACTGAATATTAAGTTTGTCACACAGTTTGCGACACCCAGCAGGAAATGTCGCAGACCCTATGAAGTATGTATGGTATAAGTGATAAGCTTAATCGTTTTAGCCGTGTACGTCTGCCTTTTTATATGTGAATAAGTCACTCAGTTATTGAGATATCTTTCTGAAATTCTGCATATTTGCTTTTCTCGCCAAGAATTTGCATACTTGTCTGACATTGTACCACTATATAAAATAGCTGTCTTAAAAACTGATCGATCGAAATCAAGCCTTTGTATAGAAAAGTTCTTTATTTGACAAGATATCAACAAGAAATTTTTTATAAGTGATAAGCTTAATATTTGCTTTTCTCGCCAAGATTTTGCATACTTGTCTGACATTTTACCACTATATAAAATAGCTGTCTTATAAACTGATCGATCTAAATCAAGTCTTTGTATAGAAAAGTTCTTTATTTGACAAGATACCAACAAGAAATTTTGCATGTTTTCTTGTCAAAAAAATGATGAAGTGTTTGATAGAATTTCTCAGATCGAACCATTATAGCATATAGCTGCCCTACAAGCTGACGAAATCAAGTTCTTGTATAGTAAACTTTTTTATTGGAAGGTATCAACATGGATTTTTTCACACATTATTATTCAAGGCAACACTAGAAGCTGCGTAAAAATTTTCCGAATCGGATCACTAAAGCATATATGTAGTTGTCATACAAATTGAATGATCACAATCAAGTTAAACTTCTCCATAAAATATATTTTTTTCTTATAAAGTAAACTTAAAAAGACTTTAAGGTTGTTCATATCTAATAACGGGGCTAGAAGGAACTAGCAATGTATTTTCCGTTAGATTCGAACTGTTAGCCTCTTAGATTTTCATTTTTGTTACACATATTCATACATATTTGCCATAAGAAATGCACYAACGAAGCGTTTTATAGTTTCGTTTTTTCTTGCTTTTTAATATTTTTCCGCTGCGCTATTTGTTTTGACACACATAAACGCACATATTTCCATTTCAATCTCATCTGCTTGAAAATTAAAAAAAAAAACATGCAAATCTATTTACTTTCGATTTCATTTAAAAGACAAAACACATTTATTTATTAATAAAAAAAATGCGAAACTGTTGCAATAATGCCAGTTAGACACAAAACACCGGGTGTTTTTTTAAACGCAAACTATTTTTTAGGCGCAAGGCGCAACACATATGGTTGTTACTTCCTCTTCTCCCTCTTCTCAACTCCCAACTATCAAAATGTTCTTTTAGATAAACGCTTTTAATGCGCGCACAATTAAAACAAAACAAAAAAAAAAAATATTTCTTATAATATTTTTCACCTCTATTTTGCCGCGCGTCTGGTCGCTAACGTTAAATTCGGTTTGAAAATTCATGCACAACTGCCGACTACTGTTCGGTTGATTGCCAGCGGCAATATGCTCTAAATGCCGGCTTTGATTTGCGATTTCCAAATTGCATCTTTCACTTTCATTTTGTATAATGTGCTTGTTGTTATTGTGATTTTCATTTAAACAGCTGATTTTTGTTTTGTTGTAACTTCGAAAAAGCTCGCCGCCAAACGCACGTGTTGTTGGAGCGTTTTGGGGTTGAAAAGCTTTCGAACTATTTTGTTTACATTTCACATGTGAGAAATTGTGTTTGAGTGCGATTGTGTGTGTGAATTTGACAACCCAGTAGCAAGTTGTATTTCAGCTGTATCTTATGTGATATAGACTAGAACTAGTCCGATTTCTTTTTTGGCTTCATTTTCTTCCATCTGTGTTTCTGTGTATCAAATATGTCCAACGGCAGATCAATATTTAATCAAATGAAAAAGGCAGTCGTTTTGCACTCAATTTTAATAAAGACTGAKATTGATTACTCTTGCCTAGATAAGATTTCCACTAGCTACATTAAAAGAAAGGGTTTTTGCATTGTCAGCAACATAATCGAAATCTGTAAATGTCTGTGTAATGATAGCTTCAGTTGAGTTAAGCTTACTGGCACAGGAGACCTTAGATCACGGCGCAAACTTGAGTTATTATCTACTAACAGGCATCTGAATTGGTCAACTCGGGAGCCTTGGTCTATAGCGAACATATATATTTAAAAATTCCATTAGCTTAGTCAATCCATCTGACAGCTTTTTTTCTTCTGTCCGCATAAGTCACAGTACTTTTAAGTCAGACTAGCATTTTATAAGTATTATACTGAATTTTGGTGTTTTCTCCAAAACATGTAGGCAGTTTGTCAACAAGCTAATGGGTAAGTTAGATATCAAGTATACTAAAGTAACTCCTAATCAGCAAAACTTGATGGAGTGCAAGTTTCGTAGAGAAGCTATCACATATATAGTACTTCTATAATTGATTTACCGATAATGTKTGGAGGATGRAGMCATGTGTTGAAGTGAGGRAAGTTCTCTGATCGSCATTYACATRGCAGTGACCAGAAATGGTTGTTTTACATATGGCGCAAGCAGCTCACAACTTCCAGTCTTAKACMARGTACCCTCTGTGTAGCCAAAATAAATCCCTTTTGGTGAGAGATGTCCCTTCCCGGGGTTTTGCGCTCGATTTGAGAACCGCCACGTAAAAGCACCCTAAATTATAAGAATAAAATAACGTGGGATGAGAAACCCCCYTTTTGATGACGACCACTGCAAACTTAATAAGGACTACGATTTAAGGTTAGGCATCTGGAATATCTGGTACCTTAATTGGGAAGGTACCAAGAGTAAAAGCGTTACCGCCGTCCAAAAGGTGTGATGGACGGAACAAGGGCTGAGATGAGTAAGTCCCTGTGGCATTTCGTGGCCGAGTCCTTACCTCGGTGGATAAACGTCTAACAACAATCTACATCAAAGCGAAGTTCGCCACAATGTCAAATTCGTGATGGGCGACTTAAACATCAGAGTAGACAGAGAAGGTATCTTTGGCATAACGGTCGGTAAATTCAGCCTCCGTGATGAAACATCCCCAAATAGATTAGTTATCTGTAGTGCCAGATAATAGGAAAATGCATCAAGCTATCTGGCTGTCTCCGGATCGAAAAGTCGCCAACTAAATCGATCATGTTTTGATAGACGGAATACGGATGATACGTCTCCAGTGTTTTAGATGTCTGTACGGTCAAAGCCGCTGTTGTGGATATTCTGACAATGTCCAATAGGCGTTGTGTCAAAACTRTATAGAGGAAGGTAAGGTAGAATCGTCTGAGCAATTTGTCCTCACCTGCTCTGTGTTTGCCAAACTGTGATTGAAATATCTCGTTAGCACACTTGCGGATTCAACGAAGTGGCCGAGAATTTGAGGTAAGCTCAAAATGTTTCTTGGGCTTATGAGGAACTAGTTTAGGTATCACAAAGGAGCAGTGCTCTCAGTTGGCCAAGTGAAAACTTGTGCAACTTTGAGTACGAGGGTCAAACTGCGACCTAACCTCAACTTTCAAGTCAGTTTTATTTAGCATGTGAGTCTTATTACCAGTCTTTATATAGTTTTTCTTAGTTAATATTTCATAAATTTTCATAATAATTTCCTCTAGTACTCACCACTGTGCGAAAAGCTTTAACGAACAGCTTAACCCGAGAATTTCATTAACATTCYCTGGCTTTACATTAACCAAATGTTAGCACAAATGAATGTTAATGAAATTCTGTGAAAAGCTTGTTTGWGAGCTTGAATTTCTACAGCCATTACACAGAACCAGTGAATGTTAATGAATATTCGCACGCCAAGTTKATTACTTTTCATAGAATATGTTAAAGCACTAAATTCCATGTCAAATTTCTGTTAACGCCGCATATTTTGTTAACATTATCTGCTATTTTTAACATACGAAATGTTACTATAACAGTAATGTCAGCAAACATGCTTGCGTTAAACATGCTGTTAAATTTAATGAAAGACAATGGAGGTTTATCTAATCAGCTGCTGATTGCCACAAGAGTGGCGTTAAAAGGTAAATAAACGTCTACTTTGTAATACAAAAACAAATATATAWAGACACATATGTTTGATGGCKCTTACTTGTGTGYTTATTGCCAATTTCACGTACTAGCTCCTCGGTGCGGTTGCGCAGCTCCGGCACTATGGAATACTGTGCAAATGTCAAATTCAGATTACGCATTTCATCGCCAAAACTTTTCATCATCAAATAACAGCTGTGCTCACCGACAGCATTACTTTGTCCATCACGTTCGTAGAATGCTATGGAATTCGACCAATTGTAGCTGCAAGAAGGATGCAAAGTTTTAATACTTGTATTAAATTATTCAAGATTTTTTAAGTGGTAATCAATGTTAAGTTAACTTCTTTTTGATTTTATGAATGTTAGCAAAGATTTTTATTTCAAAATTCGTATACATTTGCGCATTGCCCTTACCGTTTCATAAGTTCGATTATCATCAGAGAGAGACTTTTAAAGCTGAGCACACCGGGACGCACCAGCATATAGAACTCATCAGCACATGTTGTTTTCTGGTCTTCAAAACTATCGGTGGCGCCACCTATGGATATGACTGGCGTGCCGTTGCTATTGAAGTACTTGGCGATGCGACTGACGGCGGCTGAAAGAGCACAGAGAGTATACCATGTATTATATTGTGCTTATGTTATCGGTTGGAGTTGTACAACTATTGAAGGTCTAGAGGCTTAGATCACTTCGGACTCTACTCGAAGTTTACTTGTTATATTTTAATAATAAAATATAGATATAATATGGCAACACTGGTGCATGGCCCTTCAAAGTAGAAAGATATATCAAAACTTTTTAGTTTTCTTAGCTCCTTAGTGATTTCTGAGTAGATACCTGCCTTAGGTYGAATTAGGTTAGATAAACAGGTTAATATCCCCAAAAAGTAATACGGCTGTATAAACTGACGTTGAGCAATACCAAAACCTCCGTCAGGATCGGGAAGGGCCTCTCCGATTCAACGATTCAATCTCAATTCTTCAAATTCAAATTCTCAATTTTCAACGATTCCGCTGTGAACAGTAGGTCAAGTTTAATATCGTAGCAGCATTTTGCTACCGCTAGTGAGCTCATACTCCTAACTTACAGCCCAAGGTAAAACTTGAGAATATCGCCTATTATAAATGCTGCTTGGGTTAAAAACACGAAGGTTAATTCTTCTTAGTAAAACTAGATATGCTTAAAATTGGACCTAGAAGAAGAATATTTTCAATTATTTCTCTTATCGTTGAGAGAGTTTATCTCGGTTGCTTACTAAACATTATCTTTACAAGTAGGTCATTCAGACTTAGAGAGTCGGCTTTTTCAGAAATAGATGCTGTTCCTGTGGGAATCCTATTTTAAAGAGAACATCTTTAGTATTCAACTTCAATTATTTCGTTCAAAAGTCTCAAAAGTTTCCCCGAGGTGGCGACATTGTTAAAAATTATCGATTACATCTACCGTACATATTTTTGAACTAACCTTGTATGCTAGAATTTATCGATAAAAATTTTATTGAAAAGCACAAAGGACCAGGCATTAACGGGCAGGAGATCGAAGGTTCGTTCCACGGCTACTTTAGTGTAACGTACCTGCATTTATTTTCGGCCAAAAGTCATGGTTATGGCGGAATTKCTTGGGTCTTATATTAGGGTATTGCTCTACTGTAACAAAAAAGAGGAAAGAGCTGCTAGAAGAACTACCAGAGTGATTTGTCAGGTTTAAATTCTATAATGTAGTTCAACTTTAGTTTCAATATGTTCTGCATATCAGGCACCCAGTGTGATCTTTTAAATCATTCAAAATTCCAGAATAAAACATCTTTATTTTGAAAAAAATTTGGAAATATTGAAAATGTCATTGTAATTTTTCTGGCAATCAAAAAGAAAGGATATCAACATTCTAGTGGTTGTGACTCAAACTGTATTTCTTCAGAATTTTTTGAAAATTTTTTCAACTAGTCTGAGGTCTTCTAGACTTTGCTACTCTCCTCGTTATCATTATATTTCTAAGTGTGTTTGATCAGTCCACACATATCACTATACTCCGAAAGCTCTATGGTATATCAAAATTTGCAAACTGTTGTGCTTTGAATTCTATAACATTGTTAGGGTTCCCACCAAATATCAATAAATTCTCTCTCATACCACTATACCCATAACAACTCCGGGGATTTGGCATCGTAGTATTACATTAATATTTAATAAATCAATACATGTCCCACAAATCATGCCATACACACTAGGTACTCACCTAAGGCATAATCACAAACTGGACCAAAGACAACATGTGCACAATTCTTTACGATGCCGTCCATGGCCTTAATAGAGGCATATGCTGCATCGCATTTCACATCGCCCGTCATCCATTCCAAATTCAACTGCGGTGGCAATAAACTATTTTCGCGAATATAACGGTCAGCCAAATGCAACACTGGCATTGTGCGACGCAACGAAGCCGTGTAGGTGTCATCGTCGGGTAGCAATAAAAGTGCGCGCAACGTACAGTCGCGACCGTCCGGTGTACAAATGGCTTCGCAAGCGCGAGCGGACTCCTCACGGCAAGCGGCTCGTACGTGGGGTAACGCGCTTAGCAGATACAACAACGTGTACGTTGTTAGTAGTGGCATAAAAGGGCTGCGCCAAGGTGGTTGCAATGCTTGGGCACGAAAAAGCCAATCACGCCAATTGCGAAACTGTGATCGACGATATTTTGTATTCAAYGATTTGTGTTGACTACGCGGTTGGACTGCAGAGTGGCACTCAGAGCGTGCTGCAGCTGGTATGAGCTTGTGGTTTTGAGTAGATGCCCATTGGCACTGAGTGTGGATCAAAATTTCATTTCCTGAAATGCAACGACCGGCTTGTAATCGTACTGCTGTTGTTGGTTGTCGCTGCTCTGCGTAATAATCATGAGTGCGTTGTTGAGTAGGTGGGATTTGGGTTTGCGTATCGGCTTGAGATGGATAATTTGTGAGCATTTTGTGTTTTTGGGGGTTACTTATTTGTTTCCGAATTTCTTTGTAAACTCCAATTCGTGGTTCTGCCGCTGCAATTTCTGTTTTCATTTCTGTTTCTAATTCTATTTTCATATTTGCTTCCATAATTGCCAAAATTTTCTTTCTAGCTTTTTCTCTGTTTTTTTTCCAACTTAAATTTTTTATTAATTCTGCTTTTGTTTGAGTACTTGCTCCTTTTTGAGTTCTTGCTGTTACTTTTTCGTTTGCTTTAATTTTTGTTTCTGTTTATAAGGTTGCTTATAACTATATCGACTTCATTTAAAGGAATTGCTTCCGCTGTGCTTTCTCTTTCTGTCTCTTCTTTTGCTTATGTGTGAGTTTCTGCTTCTTTTCCTGTGTTTTCTTACTTTTCTGTTACTTCTTCTGTTCCTGTTTTTTCGTTTTCTTCTTTAATTTTTTGCTTTTGATTTTTTTCTCTGCTTTGTTTCTGCTCATYTTTTTGATTCTTTTTTGTTTTTGYTTCTKTTTCTTTYTCTGCCCCCGTTACTGCTCCTGGTTCAATTTCTGTTTCTGTTTTGAGGCATCTTTTTGGTTTAATTTCTGCATTTACTTCTATATTAACTTAATTTTTTAATTCAGTTGCACTTTCTGTTACTGTTCCTCTTTTGCTTTACAATAGTTTTGGTTAGTTTCTGCTCTTTASTTTATATTTCTAGGCATACTGTTAAGTGTTTTGTGCTTATTCTTAACTTACAGTTTACTTAGAGTTGAGTATATRCATTTTCTTTAGTATACTTGAACTTTGATTTTTAAGTGTTAACTTCGAGGTATTAAAATTCTCGCCGTTCTTAGTTTCTTTGTCTTGTCTCTAGCCTTTTTGTTCATCAATATTGTGTACTTTTAAACGAAACTTCTTTAGATTTTTCATTTCTTACATCCTATTCTGCTTTCCTCTTGTTCTGTAATCACTCTCGTGCTCGCTTTTTTTGCTTTGGTTCACGTCTACAGCCTATAGATCAATACTGGTGAAGTGTTTTAATCAGCTTTTTTTTTTAAATATTTTCCCCTTTACTATTTTTCTTCTTTTTTTTTTTTGGAATTACTCCATTTCAGACTTCGATCCTCTCCTTACATTACGTGGCTAGCAGTTAACTCAGTGCAAGTCTGGAAAAGATAAAATGAATGAAATGAGGCACTCAATATTTAAATTTACAATTTGTTAAGAACTAAAATTAATTTATACAATATTTATTCTAAGCAAGATCTGCCAACATTAGATTGCACCAGCTGATTGATTTTGTGCCAAAAAAAAATGTCTCACCAAATCCTTGAAATTCCAACAAACCACTTTCTAACCCTAACTATCTGCGTGTAATAATTTAAGTATCTACCCAAACACTCCGTTAACTCAACTGACGGCACACTTTTGTCGTGAAACTCAGAAATTCCGTGTTTCACTGAAACTCTTTCCGACAGCCGCTTCCGTCCCTTCCATGCTTTACACTCGGAAATACTTGTTTAATTCTTTGCCTTCATTCGCACCTACTAAAAACGGCGCTACAAAAGTTCAGCAATAATCCCTTTGGGAGAGTCAGGCAAGACATTACCATGAGCAGTCAAAAATAAATGAATTCGTTTACGAATTGCAAAGTCGTGATAATGCTATTGTGCCAACGATGTGGCAGATAAAATGACGGAAAGTGCGACCCATAACCCCACTCCATTGTCACACGGTGCCAAGCGACAATAAAAASGTAATTTTTTTCTTATTATTTATTGCATGCCCGCTGCTTTTTCGTGTATGCGAGTTACGCAGACACGTACAATAAATAATAATATTATTTTGTCTTTTGAGGGCGTTAACCACTGCAGCTGCTAGTTGCAAGTGCAAGTGTTTTCGTGCTGTGTTACTCTAGTCATGCATATTTACAGGCGTTCCTCGCTTAACTTCAATTTATTGCAAAAAATTTTGCATTTAATTTCATTTCAATTGTACGTTTCGCATAAATTTGCTTAATAAAAGTGCAAAGTTAAATGCACATGTAAGCTAAAAGGCGTTTATGTATGCTTTTTACTTGTTAATTTGCTGATATTGCAATGTTACGTATACGCCCTGTTGRTTTTTGCTATTACACTAATATATTTAAATTTCTGGGTGTATAATTGTTGTGYAAGTGTCGTAGTATAATCAAAGCGAGAAATTTTAGCATGAAAGTGGTTGCGTTGTTTTTAAATTTTCCGTTGAAAAATAGAGATATTTTTTGAAGCTTTAAGTGTTTTTGTATATTTTCAGAGAAGGATGTGGCAGAGGTAAAGTAATCTCATCAAAACGCCCGAAGAGTAAAGTGTACAAAACGACTTACCCTTCTCCCGAAGGACAGCATTATTAACAGGGTTAACTTCACCAAGAAGTTCAAGGTTATCATTGCTAGCAAGACTGAATGGAATGATTCGACTCTCGAGCAACTGCTTAAGGATAGTACAATCAATCAACGAACATTCTGATGGGCTCACCCGCTCCACATTATACACTAAAATACTAGGACCTGAACCCTTCACTGAACTGCGCCCACAGAACATAAAGGAGCTGCTCTGCAATGCAGAAGGAGTAGACAGAGAGAGGTATTGGCAACAACAACTAGGCACGCGGAATTCCAATTTTAAATATGCAATCAASCTAGGAATAAACTCAGACTACTGGTCGTATTCTATACTGACCACTCCAAGCTGAAACAGCACMTACACAACATGSTCTTAGCTTCTTACGTAAATTGCCGGTACTGTGACAGGGAGCACGAAGCATCACAACATCTGCCAATTAAGTGCATAGCAGTCTGTAGACGCAGGTTAAAGGCCTTTGCCCTCCYGTTGCAATTATATCGTGGATCATATTCTGATGTAATGTCAATAAACGGGTATAAGTTCTATTCCTTACTTCACTTCCAATATTRTTTTATTTTATTGTTTTGTTATCTAGATAAATATAATATTTTTTTAAAATATGTATATATTAATATATTTTGTCAAAAAAGTCTTGCGGTATTTTCGCTAGTTGGCGCTAAGAGCGCSTAGTTCTAGTTTTATTCGTCGCATCGGGTCATGCTATACCTTTTTGGAAAGCCAATTTCACGCGCTAATACGTGTTTGATTGATTGTCGTTTCTTTTAAGTTGTTCGTGAGTTATAGCGTCGCAAACATGGAGCAAAATAAAGAGAAAATACGGCATATTTTACAGTACTACTACGATAAAGGCAAAAATGCATCTCAAGCCGCCAATAAAATTTGTGCAGTTGATGGACCCGATACAGTTTCCATTTCCACCGCACAACGATGGTTTCAACGTTTTCGTTCTGGTGTAGAGGTGGTCGAAGATGCGCCACGCTCCGGAAGGCCTGTCGTCGAAAATTGCGATAAAATCGCTGAATTGGTCGAAAGAGACCGACACAGTAGCAGCCGTAGCATCGGTTAAGAGCTGCGCTTGAGTCTTCAATAAAAATTTTATGAACAATTGAAAATTCAATAAAAATACCGCAAGACTTTTTTGACAATCTAATATAAACCGATTCTAAACATATTGAAATAAACAAAAATATAAAGAAATTCTTCACATGCATCCACTAAAATTTCCCGCTCTAAAAGTGAAAGCAAATCCAACGCAGAACTTTGTTTGATTTAATTTTCGTCTAAACTCAAATTGCTTGAAAATACAAATTGTTGTCTGCAATGAGCAGCCAAAATTCGCAACAGCACTTATTCTACCTAATTTATTTACTGTTTGCCAAATAAATAAAGTAGGAGTGGCACTAGCATTCTCGAAATAAAATTTCGGACAACAGGCAGCCTTCCTCTTGGCAATAATCATGACTTATGCAAATTAGAGGGAAGCCACTAAATTTGCGAGGATATGTGTATAATGAAACGCCAAACGTTGTCGAAAAGTATGCAGTAYTTTCACAACTAATCAGTTGCTACTAGTAATGACTAGTACTTAGTTGGGAACTGTTGAGTGTCGCGTATTTGTACTTTTACTTGGCCTATGGGTATCGTGGAAATTTATCATACAAGCAAACAAAAAAATCTACTTTTTGCTCTTGGAAATTTGCTGGATATTTTTTTCCTTTAGATTGGTCTTATGAGCTAATCACTTTCTTCTCCGACCGCACAAACTAAACCGATAAAAAAATGTTCACCTTCAGAGATTGGTGCAACCACTTTTGTGTTCGTGTGAAGTTTGATGTCCATATGTCAATTAGTGTGTGTTTCGCAGCTGCTTTTTTACGACGCCAAAACTTTGTCTGCCAATTTTTACCATACTTATAAAAAAAAATTAATAACGAGTTTCTTTCAAGTTTTGTGTTTCCAATTGCAGCACGGTTACGGAATCGTTGAARCTGCCTTAGAAGTGTTTTGTGAATTATACATTATCACCGAAACATGTACATTAGTGGCAAAGAATATTCAGTGAAGGTCGTGAATTTATCGAAAGCTTGCTACATCATCCATCTACCCCTGTTATCTGTCAAAGACAATAACATCGAATAAGTTAAAGAAACAGTGTTGCAAAGTGGTCGTGTTGGCATCAGAGAGATGACAGAGGATCGCAATATCTATTGTGCATCGACAGTATCTCCATCTTAATTAGTGTTTCGGATATGGACCGCGTCGAGACTCATAGCTAACAGAATATCTAATTATTTTTCTAAAAAAAATGCTGAACAACTTAGCGGCCCATAGCTGTCTATAGAATATTTTACAGAAAATCATACAAAAAATATTTGGAGCAAATACAGCGGCTCGGCGCTCTCTGCTTAAAGAAAGTACTAAGACCCACCACAACAGTTGCACTTAAAAGTTTACTCAAACTGCCACCAATTGATATTGTAGTGGAAAGCTCGGTAGCGAAATCAGCTGCAAGACTTGCGCCACTCTCTAAATATTTACACAAAAAATTTCTGATATGGCTCGATAGGCAGGGTGTCGCTGAAAGGCGTTGATTGGCACAAGGGTACGTAAACCACCAGAAAAACGGACACTAGCGAGATATATTGCCCGTGCTAGACTGGCTTGACGAAAAAGCTGAAGAGATTGCCAAAAGAGTTTAGGAAATATGAAACGATACACACCGAAATTTCCGAAAGGGCTGACAGACGGTTCAAGGTGAGTTAGTATACCTCAGGCACGTGCAGAACTGGCAAGTCTTCTACTCACTCGGTGTCGAAAAGACGGC